AATGAGCAAACCAACCAGAAACAGATTGTAAAACAAATAAGCAGGAAGAAATGGAGATGGATTGACCATACGCTGAGTAAACCATCAAGTGAGTGACATCACTAGACCAGCCATTGCTCGAATGGAACCCGAAAGGTAAGCGGCGGGTTGGTCGTCAGTGCGAGGGTGACTTGGAGGAGGTCGTGTGAAGAGGAGATGAAAGCATGTGGACAGACTTGGAGCAGGGTGAAAAAGTTGGCAGAGAACCGAAGGCAATGGAGACGCGCGGCTGAATCCCTATGTTCCTTTAGGAATTAAAGGAAATAATAATGACATAGGTTAGGGAACTATTGGAAAACCTGAAGGAAGCATTGAAAAGCTGTTGCGTCATGGTTTGTGACGGGTCCCAGTGTCTTAACGTTTTAAGAGCCCGCCATGTAACGAGAAGGTCCTGGGTTTCAACCCCTTTGGTTAGTGTGTACTCTTGAAGAATCCTTAACTGGGGCGAAGCAGCCGTCTGGTACTCCCAGCTGATGTTGAGATCCTGTGACTAAGATATATCAGAAACACTGATCCAGGTAAACAGTAAGAATTAAGTTGCTACACGTTTGAATGAAGTCAGGAATCATAAACCGATTTTTCTGCGATCTTCGGGTATCTGAATCCTCATTATACACAGTTAGTTGAATCCACTTTTTTCATGCAGCGATAATTTTACATAATAGGCACCATAGAAGGAAATTATCAATAAGTAACTCGCACACTAAATAAAGAAACGACTCCTGGAATAGTTGTGCTTCGGTGGCAGAGCGGTTAGGACGCTCTCCGGTGATTCACATGGTCCCGGGTTCGATCCCTGGCCGATACAAACCTATTATCAATGGTCAGCATGCTGAATTCGGGCTAAGAATACCGCATGCTGAAGATTCCATACTTGTACTGAAATACTGTGTGTAATCAAGCTAAAATAAAATAAAAATAAATAAATACTTTGTGGAATGGCTAGCGTAAAATATGAAACTTTCAAATATTCTCATGAAAAAGGCAACTGGAATGGGCGGAATACCGCTAGGTAGTGAACTACAACATCTCATGGGGACTAATGAGATTTGTAGCACGGTATGCAAGTTCTTCGCCCCATATTTCAGTCAATCATTTTTTGTTCAAATATGAGGTTTATCACACAGCTGATTTTCAGCCATTTGTCTCCATAAAATGATTTTCACACAATGAGTAGGCATGTTCACGTCATGTAGTATTAATGCCTGAAGTCTTTTTTATATTTTCAAGTATTGGTTTTGTAGGGATTTTGTTCGATTGAATGGAGGATTTTATCATCAGCTGACATCAATTAGAGAACCACTGGAAAATCTGGGAGTACTGGATAGCTGTTTCGTCCCGGTTTGGGACTCTTCATCAATATGCACCCACTGTAAGTCCTCGAAACCAGGAGCTTTTGGTTAAAAGGCGAGCTCGTAGACCATTGAGCGTACTGATGAAGAGTGCCGGACTGGTACGAAACAACTGTCCAGTACTCCAAGGTTTTCCAGTAGTTCTCTAACTGATGTCAGCTCATGACGAAATCATCCAACCGGCCCAACAAAATCCCTACAAAAACCAATGCTTGAAAATGGATCTGATGCCCACTAGCGACTGACCCTATTCAGGTAGGCAGTGACTGGGGTTCTAGTGGGAAGCATAACCAGTTGGGTGCAGCAGATTAAAGGTGAGGCAGTAACTCACCGAAGAAGATGTGCGAAATAGTCGCGCTAAGTTGTGAATTGGCAGAAGTTAGAATTCAAGGATTGGCCATTGGATAGTGTCCCAGTGGCTCAATGGTCTACGAGCTCGCCTTGTAATCTGGAGGTCCTGGATTCGAACAACTGTGGTGGGTGCGTACTAACGAAGAGTCCCAAACTAGGCTGATGAAACCGCTGATTGGTCTCCTAGTGATTCTCTAACTGATGTCAGCTCATGATGAATCCTCCATCCAGTCATTTTTATGTCCCCAGTGAATATGGTTTCATGCATAATAGACCTGCATTGAATATTTCTGGAGACTACACCAGAATGTGCGTCGAGTCATCATTAATCTAACCCGTTCTTCATAATTGTGCTAACCGAAAATATGCTAACACTAATATACATATGCGAACTTTTTCTAAATGTCTGATCACAAATCGTGTCAATGACATCTAAGAAACTATTATTGAACACGTCATTAGACAGTGATAATTGTCTGTTAATCTGACCAAATGACCGAATCAACTGGATAATATTTTCTTCTCATCTGTTTCATATTCTTTGAGGTCATAGTTATTCTGATCGTTTGTCCATTAACGACTGATTTTCAGACAAGTTAAAGTTTGAGACGACTAATTAGTGTTCGATTATATCTTGATAATCATGCAGAAAGAATGTGGATCAGAAATAACTGAAAACTAAGTGGTGTTAAGTTAAATCACGTACTTGAGTTAGTCGGAGAATCACACTGAAAGTCAATGAAAGTTTTGAATGGTTGTTTTGGCACACTTTAGGACTCTTCAGAATTACTCAACCATAATCAAACCTCTAGGAATCAAACATACAGGAGGGGGCATGCTTTGATTGATTGATTTTGCACGTATTCCACAAACCAATATGAAATAAACTTGTCTAATGCAAATGTAGTACATGAAATATGCTTATTCACTTGAATCAAAAGAAATCAGCACTATTTGAGAAGCCATAATGTGATCGAAGTCATTCTAGATTAAGTGGACTGTTGAGTTCATGTGTAGTGACTTTATGCGATTTCTAACATATATAAATAGTCATACTTTCTATAGGGTTAATGTAAACAAACCCGTATTTACAATTGACCTTCAATCATTGAAGAGATACATTAACATTTTAGACGCAGACAAGCAGTAAGAAGCAATCTTTTGAAACATCCTGGAATGCAGTCAAGTTTCATTAAATAGTTTTACTCCAGTCTTCAAGTAAATAGATCCTTTATTGGACCCACCTTTACCTACAATAACTGCTCCACATAACAAGCATAATACAGTGAGTGGTGTCATAAAGTTGTGGAAAATGTGAAGTGGAACACCCTATGACATAGGCGCAAGTTTCTTAACTTCTCGTGACAACCGGCTGGAACATGGGGAAGCTGTTCAACTGACTCACAGTTACATTGAAATTACTGATCATCAAACACTTCTGTTAATATGACATAGATATCAGTCCTCAAGCATTGTCTTAATGTGAAAAGCGATCTCTACTGTGAAACAGTTCAAACAAAATGTCACGATGCTTTGACACTCAAATTATTTGAACATCATAAAATCTTAGTGACTAAGTTAATTAGTGTAATATTTAGTGCATAGGAATATGAAGTTGTGTTGTGGACAGTTGACCGTTCAGTTATATAAGGAAAGGGAAAATGCATCTGCATGATACTAGATTAATTAATAAAGTAACTGAAAACTGACTGAACTGATTTTGTAGTTATACAGAGAACACACAAAGCAAAGTATCAGTAGGTACTTGACAAAAGAACAGTTTTCAGATAAGAAGTGTGATATTCGAATATCATCACTTTGAACACATATATTATTATTGTTTCCTTGGGTTGTGAGTGGAACATACAGCTTCACCAACACATCTACACTGACCTGAAAGTCTACACATTGCCAAGTGGCTTAAATCATCAATCCGAGCACCCATAGATTGGTGACATATTTTGACATGATTACCAGTAACTATTTTCTGACCAAATCCTATGTCAGCTAACATTGCACTTCGGGAAAGATGATGGCTTGGCCTGCACATATGTCTTAACGTGTCTTAACCATCTCAGCCAATGAAGATTCACAATCCAATCCATCAAATTTCCATCCCTCACCTAAAAATCTAAGCCTAACCACAGAAGTATTCACCATATTATACCACTCTGAACACAGATGATTGGACGCAAGCAACTTTCGTTAAAGACAACTGGACTCTCAAGGTCTTCCAGTTTCGATGTCAATGTCTCAAAAGCCATAAATAAAAACAAAACAAACTGCTGCACAGGAAGCACTTTTTTCGCTTGATAGCCGGATATCACATATACGCGACAGATGACGTCAGTAGGCAAATATCACACCAAAATTTGCAGACTCGTAATGCAACATAATCTCACACTTCTAAAGAAACTAATTACATGATGAACATACTGAGATTTCTGCTCAAGGTGTTTAAAAGACCTCATTTTAGAGACATTTTCTCAGTCGACAAGAATGCTTCCAAGTGGAAGTTCATCCATAGGTTGGTAAAGCCGATTATAGACAGAACCATTAGTATGCCTGTGATGACGGTAAGCAAAAATTGGGAAGTAACGTATCCATGACGAACAACACTGGTGGTCATTACTCCAGATGAAAACACTCCATTACCTCTTACAGGACTGCATTACTTTGATTACAACACAATGATTAGCATGGCATACAATCTCGCCACTTGCTTTGAGACTAGACATGGTCACAGTGATTCTTGATGAAGCCATTAGATAAAGAAATATAACAAGTGTTCGATTCCGGTGGATCTTTCTATGTTTTACAATGTGTCGAAAGGTGAAATCATCATAAGAAGAGACATCTACACACATTCCATGATTATATAGAAATTTCTGCGATAATTATCATCAACATACAGATCAAGCATTTCAAGATATTCATAATAAAAATTTTATTTGATAGCAGATTACATCTATACAGGTTCTCTTCTGCCATTTTCATAACTCAGTTGAATATATTTCACGAAACACAAATCTAGAAAATAGACAAATAGTTCTAAGTCGAGTGCAGGCTTAGTAAACCACATGTGATTGGTTCATTCATTCAGATGAAGAGAAAGTCAACTGAGGTCACATTCCAGTCGGTCGAATCAACCAATTCGAATCGTAAACAAATTCACACCAATCACAACGAAGGATATTGTAACAAGTAACACATATAAATACATGCATTCATCCACGGAGTGTATTCATCACAACTCAGTGTATTCACAATCCACAATCAACAGTCATGGTTCTACTTCCAAACAAACCTGCACCAGTTTTCAAAGGAAAAGCTGTTGTCGATGGTGTCTTCAAGGAGATCAGTTTAGAGGATTATTTGGGACAATATGTCGTGTTGTTTTTCTATCCAGCTGACTTGTAAGTTGTTACTGACAGAATGATTTGTGTTCTTTATTGGTGATTTTCGTAAATGAAATATTTTGTATATTGGAGATGAAACATGAATAGGTATCAGATAGATGAATTCAATGTACAGCGGATTTTCTAACTATGTAGTTCATAAGTGAGAGATTTCTGTATCATCAATGCAGTATTCTCTACATATACCATGTCGATTTCGATCCGCCGAAATTTCCTCAGATGTGAGTAACTGTCACTTCCCTTCTGTAAACTGCATCCGACAGACGTAATCTAACATTCCTAGTTTAAAATTGATATATGAGACTATTTTACACTCAGGAAATATATCCGATTGCGTGCAGCAGAGTGTACCAATAAGGCAGTGAAAAAATAGGTCTACCTTTATCAGTAGTCTGTTGAGTGATGGTTCATGCTCATAATATTCACAATTGTTATTATGCCATGAAAAAATCAATGTCTCTGTCGATTTCTTCATCAATTTCAGCACATTCGTCTGTCCAACAGAGATCATCGCATTCAGTGATCAGGTGGAAGATTTCAAGAGTCGAAATTGTCAAGTGATCGCCTGTTCTACGGATTCTGAATACAGTCACTTCGCATGGATAAATATGGATCGGAAATCAGGTGGATTGGGAGAGATGAAAATCCCCTTGTTGGCTGACAAGACGAAGTCGATCTCGAGAGCCTATGGTGTGTTGGATGAAGAGGAGGGAAATGCATTCAGGTGAGTTGGATTGATTGTTGGTCAAGGTAGCAGAGAATGCGTATTTCGAGGATGAAGTGAAGCTAAGTAGGTCTTAATGTTGGGTGAGTCAAGAGCAATGCATCAGTGATGCCTTGCTGATACACAAGTAGGGAATAGGTGTAGGTTCATTGTGGATGTTCGTTAGGTGAGTCATGCTTCTGACATATACATCTAAATGCTGAACGAGAGTGAATATTACGCATAATTGTGCATTCTATCAGTAAGAATAGGCTGACACAGAAGCACTTTAATTTGGGTTATAAAGGCCAAATCCGAACACTAAGACTTTGGTCGACTGACATCCTGTTTTCACATCTTCCCGGAGAATATGAGATTGCTAATTCATGTGTAAGCATTCTATCTCTTTAACTACATGCCTGTTGTTACGCATGAGTAAGTGAAAAAACATGATAGTGTGTATTTCTGTATAACTACATATCCCATTTCATCAAATCAAGCGTTGATATTCCTTTGAGAATTATCCCGACAGTATACACACACTTTATCTAACTGTATGAATCCGCAATATTTCTTATTACATACATTTCAGAGGTCTATTCATCATCGATCCGAAAGGAATTCTACGTCAAATTACAGTCAATGACAAGCCAGTTGGAAGATCCGTCGACGAGACACTTCGACTGTTGGATGCATTCCAATTTGTAGAGAAGCATGGTGAAGTTTGTCCCGCCAACTGGAAACGTGGTCAACAGGGAATTCAAGACAAGCATTAGAAGGCTCACCTGAAACAAATAATTTTCCCTTTTATTTTATTTCTCCATCCTCATCAATGTCTGACATATGATGTCATTCTTCACTGACTCAATCACTCATTGTATGATATCTGAGAATATTTGTCAATAAATAGCACTTTTCGAATGAATCAGATCACATCATTCATTTTCTGTGAATTTCCGATTAAATCCTTGTGAGAATTGTTGGTCTGATAAGGAGAACACTTGTAGACTTGTATGGTCATGTGAGGAGTACTGTGTTATTCAACGTAATGCGATTAGTTTCATTTATCGAAGAGATACTACGCGTGGAATGTACGTCTGTGATCAATTCCTACGAGTTCACTTGACCGAAACTACTTAATTGTATCCGATGATGAATTTTTGTAAGACTCTTCAACTGATGGCCTATAAACATTAGGATGACATTGCGTTCTCTGACTATAGTGGTGGCTGATTCACAACATGAGTATCTCGTCCTGCCATGCGGTGGCTAAGTTACAGGTAACTATTCTTAAACTTTTACATTAATTCATAGTGATATACAATATGGCGGTTGTAATGGAATTCGTGAATATAATTAAAGCTATCAGAACTGGAAAGTAAACTGTGACAGTCTTGGGCGCAATATCACTATTCAAAAATTTAGCACTAATTGAAACTGTCAACTCTGTGTGCAAGAAAACAAATGACAAGTCAATAAAAATTGGGGGTTTTTGTAGGAATTGTCTTAGGATTGCTACTAAGGTGTACGAAATTGAATTTTAAATTCCGTTGTGAACTTTACAGATAAGAGGGATGGGAGAAGCAATAGGTTTCTCATTGTACTGTTTAGGTTCTCTTTGCAACATACGCCCAGATACCTGTTGAATTACTGTCAGCTGCCCAGTTAACCGACAGTTTGTTGGAAAAGATTAGCAATCTGACTACGAAAGATAAATTCGCTTTATTTTTTTACATACCTTCCTTATTTACTAAGTGTATCATTGTTTTGAAAGGTGAGGAACATTTTAGATGAAACGTTGATGTTAACTAGAAGTTAATTGGAGGATGGTGAACAGCAGTGAAATCCAGGATGCACATTTCGTCCTATCTGTGACTCGTCACTGGATATACCTGCATTTCCCAGTGAGTGATGATGTTCCTACCAAGGCTCGAACCCAATGCCCATGGTTTCAAACGCCAAAGCGTTATCCATCAGACCACTTGAGCCATGAGAGCCACCACCTCTTGTGCAACTAGTCATATTAATTATTTAAGTCAATTTTAGATTTTCCCGTCGATTGATTGGACTGAAGTGCTTGGTCTCAGGTTGACATGTCGGCTTCTTGTGCAAATGCATCGACGATGTCTGGGCATGTAATTAGAAGATGATTGTTGGTTGGTGAGTAGCAATGGAATCCAGGGTGCGCGTTTCGTCCTATTTGGGACTCAAACACTGATATTAGTATTTCTATATTCTCAATGAAGCAATTCATCTAAGATGTACACTCCCTTCAAAATAATATATTCTGTTAGCAAGCTTGTGCGACAGTGTGGTCGTCAAAAAGGCTAGTTCTTTCCAGTGAACCTTAGAAATAGGCAATTAGTGAATTGAAATTCTATTGTCAGTTTGTGGATGTATGCTTCTGAATGTGAAAAAATAGGAATGAAGCAGTTACTGACGTCGGCGAATTTGATCACGTGCGTTCTACCAGAAGTTTCAGCTATGCCTGACTTCTACAGTATTTAAATTCCAAGGAAAAATATGCAGACCAACTGAGTGAGTTTCCATGGGATCACCAATATCACCGGTTATGGCTGATATATTAATGGATAGATGGGAAAACATAGTGAGTGGAATGTTCAGCCCCAATCCAAAAGTATGCTGGAGGTATGTAGATGACACATACACTGCACTTAGAACACTAGATATAGATAGATTTTTCGAACACATCAACTCGAAGGTGGATGCAATTAATTTCACTTATGAATTGGAAAGTCATGAAGGGGAGCTTCCAATGTTAGATTGCAACGTAAAAAGGAAGGAAGATAGGAAGTTAAACACTATTGTTCACAGGAAACCCACACATTAAGACAGATATTTGGACTTCCGATCATCCCATCCAATGTCAGTAAAAATAGGGTTTGGTGAAATGTTTAAGTAATAGAGCACAAAAAGTAAGTAGTATCAAGGAAGTGAGACATATAAGAGAAGCTTTGAAACTTAGTAATCACCCTGATAAATTAGTCAGAAAGTATGTAGGGAAATGTAAAAGTAAAATAAATAATGATAGTAGTGATAGTGATGATAATGATGTTGATGACGACATGCGTTTCAAACATGCGCAAGATATTGACAACACCAACAATAAGGAATCTTAATCATCAGTAGTGATTCCATACAAGGAACGAACCTCGGAAACATTACGCAGAATTCTTAACAATGCTGGCAAGAATAAACGTGGCTGGCATTCAAACTGCACGGAACTCAGTTAGAAAAAGGTTTTGACGGTTAAAGGATCCTGTGGAACTAATAAAACAAAGCAATTTAATTTATCTAATGCCCTGTTGCGTTGATTGTCAGGTCAAATACATAGGTCAAACTAGTAGAACAGGGGCAGTCAGTCAGACTAGCCGAACATAAAAACCTAGCAAAATCTAGATTGGTTGACCCAAATAAGATAAGAAATCTGGAGAATAGTTCAGCTACTGCTCTACGCTGTATGCGATCACACACAACCACACAATAGGATGGAATGGAATAGGATGACAGTTTTAATATCTAATGTCACAGGGTAGAGGGAGAGATTGATAACAGAAGCTTTGTTTATCGGATCAGCTGAGAGAGGATATGTGTGATAGAAGTGATTCAACACCTGTCCACTCGGACATATGGAAAATTCAACTACCCCTACAACGACAAATAGGAGAGGACAAAGAAACATATAAAACTCAGGTTTCGAAGTCGTGTGTTTGTAATTGATGTTATGACTATGAATGGTAAATTTTGTTTGAAACTTCATCCAGCAAAAAATACTGATTCACTGTGTGACGAATCTAATAAACAAACTAATATGAAATTACTCACTACCATAGTGGCCAAATTTTACGCATATATTAGGAAATTATGTCATTTCATCTTTAGACTTCGCGAAAACCAAGGAGTTAGGTAAAACAGAAGAAATAAAACTTCAGGTCAGTATACTCGTTTTTCGAGTCTCACACCTTGCAAAATGAATGCACATCACACAGCTGGAGTAATCTGTGCAAACAATCGACTTCATAATCAGTCTAAGATTATGGGATAATTGTGGATATCCAAATAAATGAGTTGATGATAAAAAAAACATGAATTTAGCGTCAAAGGAAATAGGTATGGTAACAGTTATCAGTAAAAAGAACCCTTGTTCATAAAATTTAGTTTTTGGATGACAACATATGTGAAACATTAAGAAAGGCTAAGATAGTACTGTGAAAAAAGAGTATTCAATGCAGTAGAGGTTCACTTTCACAACCACTCCGATTTCACTTTTGGGAATTAAAGATAAACTACCTAATTTACTCTCTGTGTGAAGCTAACAGTTTGACTTCTTCTGCGGGGCTAATTACCTTAGATGTACAATGAAGCATGTAGCTTATTAGGTGATTCAATGGCTCTCTGTATGGTTAGGCAAGGGACAAACAAAGTCTATCAGTAACTCTACTCTAGGACACGCTTAGCATGCTAATCATGGAAGTACGGCTCGTAGTGCATTTGAAATTATTCATCGTTTTCCCAATAAAACTACATTTGATTTGTAAGTTCGTCTTCTACATATCAAAGTGGTTAACAGAGTTCACTTGAAGTGGCCGACACTGTGAGCATAGAGAAGAATCTAGTACAGTGATATTTTTTCTGTGGCCATCAAGTTCTCGGGAAACGGCTGTTTAAACTGGTTCCACGGAATTGACACAAACGGGAAGTCAATAGCTGGACGAGATACCTTATGTTCCAAATTCACTATCACAACCTGGTGTGTAGAAAATATGATTTAAAATTTACTGGTATTAAAGGAGGTTCTCTGGATTAATTTCTTCAACTTGTTGATAGCTAATCCATTTGGTGAGTCACTTCTAGATCGAAACATCATACAGATTGGCTTCTTGTTTGCAGAGGCAGAAATACTTCTTTTCCACTTTGCCAGTCATCTGTATTCTTATGAATACATCCAGATATCTTTTCTCACTAAATGTATCTCCAGTTTGTTCTAAATCTCATCCTTCAGAAATAAAGTCCTCATTGCTACAGGTGAGATTATTTATTAGGTTTCTCCTGCACTTGACAGTAATAAAGCTGTGGATATGAATATATTGCATTTTTTAATGTTCTTTTCTTAAGGATACTTCTTGTAAGGATAACACTCAAGTAATAATAATAATAATTTGCTTTATTCCGAAACAGTACTTGTAATACAGAATGGAATTCTCAACATTTCACTACACACAGTATTGCATCCAGTTTGTACATTATCAATAAATATAGTTCTACATAGATTACGGGTAATCTCAGTTAGTTTTGACAACAACATATTAGCATGTCCGTAGCAAAGCCAAAATTGAACAGAGTGTTTGAAGGTGTTAGAAAAGTAGATACTACTAGCATATTTACTGGCGTAAGCGGTAGCAAAAAGTTCGAGATATGCAGAGTGTGAAAGAAAGAAGAAGAATGTTTTAAATAAAGTTTGTAAGGAAGAGAGAAACAAAGGAGCACGTAACAGAAAAAAAGAAAAGGAAAAGCGAGAAAGAAGAACGTTATGCCTATAAACGATATGAGTTGGAAAGACGAGATCCAGTTGTTCTACTGACTATTTAATAAGTCATAGGTATCACGCCTAATGCTTTCGCTATCTCACAGAACACGAGCTAAGTAGGGTATAGTTGCGTTTTTGTACTTGCTAGTGCGAGCATATAGTTTTCTATATAGGCTTCTGGTCTGCCTGCCTGATGAGATACAAGGGGAGAGTTGTGAATGAAGAGGGTGTTGTGAAATAAATAGATAGAATGGATTAAGCCCATTTTTCACATGAGTCCATGTGCCTGTCGACCAAATATTAACAAGCTGGTTAAGCGGCATGTTTCTTACCCTGCTGACAACCTTTAACATCCCGTGTAATAAGGTATAATCTTTCTTCAGTAGCCCTGGAAAAAATAAGGGGGAACAATAGAGAGTAACAGGCAGGATTCAAGAGTTAACGAATCGTAGAAGTAAGGGTTAGGTCATTCCAGAATATCTTAACTTCTTGATGCAGAAGGTAAGACGGAATATTTTCTTAGAAATCATCAAGATATGAGACGACCAGGAAGGACCAGCAGATAGAATGACGCCTAGGTGTTTGAAATTCCGACTTGGATTCTGTTTCAGTATGCAACTTTTCAATCCAATACTTCTTCACACCTGATTACAATGACTCTGTATACCTTAGGGAAATGAGTAACAGTCACGAGCCTATCTAAGACGTTTTCATCAAAAGTGAACACACTATTCTTCTACTGAAAACTAAATATAAAAGCTTGGAAATAATTTTGTAAAGGAATAAATTGGGGATCACTAGGGGGGCAATCAGCTGACATGAGACACAAGGAAGAATGAACCCATTGCCTCACCAGTCACCTACCTATACAGTTCAACATGATAAGTTGAAATTTACGTCCATGCTTCACTTCTGCAAACAGTTCAGCGAAATGTCTATTTTTGGCAAATTTATTCACTTAACTGTACAGTCACAATTATACAGAATCATTCTTGTCTGTGTGTGTGTGTGCACATTAGGTATGTCGGACAAGAATACAAATCAGTTAGGGTTGTATTTTTCGTCATTAAGATTTCTCATGCAAGAATGTGATGAATAATCAAATTGTAACAAGGGAGTGGGTGGTATGAAGAATAATATGTCTCGATTAGGGTTACGTAATATGAAAGACGTCCAAGAAAATCAGGTTTCAGTGAAACAGCATAGGGACAAGTATCGAAAGTAAATTATGTGTTATGTAGAAACAGTAAATAAAGGATGAGTTTAGAGAAAGATGTCATGCAAAAACTCAAAAATAGTATTAATAACAAAATAATTGAACCTGGAACTGTATCTAAGGTAGACGGACGGGATGGACAAGCTTCTTTTGTGTACATAAATCAGCGTTCACCATTTTCGAGAGGCTTCTTTTGACATTTGCATGACTTTGAATGAATTCTTTTGGCTCACAGAGTTACCAGTGTCGAATATATGCTCTATCCAATGTTACACTTCCGTACCTAGCGGGATAATGTTCTTTGACACTTTTAGTTCAGCGAAGAGTCACTTTTCGGCGGCGAATTCATTTTCTCAGCTGTACAATCGCAAATAAATATGTGTCATTTTGTATGTATGTGTACATTAAGTTTGTCAAACAAAATTACAATTGGTTAAGGTTATTTTAACTAAACAGGTGAAGATTGGTAATACAAGTCAAGAAAATTAAGTGTTAATGGAACTAGGGTAGTAACAAAGGTGATGAGTTGTCACAAACAGTTGTTAAAAGAAGTTATGTTATGTTAATATGAATAGTTTGATGAGTGAGTTTTACTCAGGATCCACATAGGAACAAAGTAGACAATACGAAATTACGTAAGAGTTCTAAATGAATAGAAGAATTATTAGCAACTAAAGAACAGGTAAAGAAACAAAATTAAGTCGTCAAGATCAAAAAAGTTGCTACCATGACAGTAGAAGTGGTTGAGTAATCTTCGTTCGTATGCACAGCTCCGGTTTTTCTATGTGAATGGCCAGAGCTTCAGTGATACAAAGAAGACGAAACCGTATTGCCTTTGATAGGTTATTCTTGACTCTGTAGATTACTTTGAAGGAGGTGTTTGTTGAGATGGAATGATCATTGTTAACCAGGTGTTCAACTATCGCGATCATTATTACACCACTATTGCCTTTTCCCAACCATGCTGGATAGTGTTCTTCAATTCTTTTGGACAAGGTGCGCGTCGGAAGACCGATGTACCTGGCTAGCTCCACAGCAGCAGGTGAACTGATATATGCACACAGAAGTGACCAGGTGTGGGATCATGTGCTTGAGGCTTCTGCAGATCAGTGGGCGACTGGAGAACACTATTCTTAGCGTTGCTGCAAAGAATGTTCTTCTCAGAGATGATGTGGCCCTTCTCTTGAGAATATCGCTTGCTAAATCCCCCTTGAAATCTACGTTGATGTAGAGTTTCTTTTTAGGCGCAATTAAAGTTTCGTTTCTCCGAATTCTTGGTTTGATATTTTTGTCGATGAATCTTATTGAGTATCCATTTTCGATAGAGATTTCTCCCAGGATATCTATTTCTGTTTCCAGAACGTCGGGACTACAGATGCATCGGATGCGGGTGGCGAGTGATTTAACTAAATTCCGCTTTTGTTGAATGGGTACCAGCTATAGAAGCTTGTTAGTTGACCATTCCATCGAACGACCTATATGTCTATCTCACACCACATAAGCAAGTAAATTGGTAGATATATATGGAAGTGGTCAAATACGATAATTTATCTTTAGACAGAACAGTTGGCGGCATGAAAATGCAAATCATAATTTAAAGGCATAGAGAGTTCTTTACAGAGTATTAGATATTCCCCTCTTTAGAATGTCAGCCAGAAAGTCGCTCATGAACGCCACATTCATGTATGGCATCTCCATCGGCAGGGAGACGAGGGTGCTCTTTATTACTTTTGTTTATCTATAAACTGTGATGGATAGCAGAGTGATCTATTTTTTCTACTGACTAATGGCTGCAGATTCTTTGGATTCAAAGCGCAATAGATATTATAAGGTTCTCCTAGCGACTGATTGGTAAACTAATGTAGATATTTTTCAACTGGTCGTTCTTAGTAGGCTTTCTATATACTGAACTGTTAAAGTCCCATCTCAACCAACCCCTTGTTTGTTCATTTTAATTACTACATAAATTATTCCGGATACTTGTCTCCAGATCTTACATTGATATCCTATTTTCCTAGACAACTTTCATATTACGTAACCATAGTCGGGACTTATTAATCTTCATACTACCCTCCCACTTGTTACAATTTGATTATTCATCAAATTTTTGCTTGAAACATCTTGATGACGTCAAAAACAACCCTCACTAATTTGTATGCTTATCAGACAAACCTAATGTACATACAAACACAGGAATGATTCTATATAATTGTGATTGTACAGTTAAGTCAATGAATTCACCGAAGACAGACATTTTGCTGAGCTGTTTGTCCTTATATTCAAGTGTGGATGAGTTTTTTTTCTCAGTTCTCTAAATATTTCTACTAGGAATACAATTCCTCAGGGAGAATACTTATCCGAACATTAATGAAAACAAAAATGTAGTTCAGCGAAGAGTCTCTTTACAGTGGCAAATTCATTTTCTTAGCTGTACAATCTCATTTATATTAAACTTATTTTTGCATGTGAGTGTACGTTAGGTCTGTTCGATTATAAGAGAAAGAAGGAGAGAATAACCCAACCGCTTCAACTGTCATGAAAACAACCGTGTCGATTTCTGCCGACTTGATTTTTGTATACTTGATCCTTTTTTTCCTTTCTAATTCCTTATAACAATTGTGACATTTAGAACTCTAAAGTAATTCCGTATTTTTCTTTGTTTCTATGTGCATCCTAATCACAACTCACGCATTAAACTATTCATCCTAATATGTAACTGTGTGACGCTTATTCAACTTATTTATGTGCTAATAGATACTTTTTTGGACAACACATCACCACTAGCCTCTTACCAATCTCCTCCTACCCCTCCTAAGTTACAGTTTGATGACTCATCACATTTTTAAAATGTCTTGACAACAATAGCCATGTCTTATTTTTATTCTTATCGAAGAAACCTAATGTAGACACACGTATACAAAAAGGAAATTAATTATACAATATTCAAACTGTACAGTTAGGTGAATGAGTTCGCCACCGAAAGTAGATTCTTCGCAAAACTAGGCATTTTGCTATCGATAAATCCAATATTTCAGGATTTCATCATGAGCTGACATTAGTTAGAAAATCATTGGAAAACCTGGGAGTACTGGACAGCTGTTTCGTCAGCCTAGTTTGGGACTCTTCATCAGTACGCACCCACCGGTATTCGAACCAAGGACATTCCGGTTACAAGGCAAGCTGGCTCGTATACCATCAAGCCACTGGGACCCGATCCAATGGTCCTTGAATTCTAACTTCTACCAATTCACGAAATCCAATATTTATTGACACGGTACTCCTCTGTTCTAGCATGTAGCTAACGGATTCAATCAATGGAATATTGACGAATAGTGACATAATAGGCATAGTTAGCCCACGGTGGGACAACTTTCTTATGTCTGGAATTGGCCCTAACAGTACTCCGAGTAGATGACATACACGCTAGTGGTTCATTGATCGGATTAAGTTATTACGCATGGGTGAACTCGTAGGAATTGATCACAGACGTACATTCCAAGCATAGTATCTCTTCGATAAATGAAACTAATCGCATTACGTTGAATAACACAGTACTCCTCACATGACCATACAAGTCTACGAGTGTTCTCCTTATCAGACCAACAATTCTCACAAGGATTTAATCGGAAATTCACAGAAAGTGAATGATGTGATCTGATTCATTCGAAAAGTGCTATTTATTGACAAATATTCTCAGATATCATACAATGAATGATTGAGTCAGTGAAGAATGACATCATATGTCAGACATTGATGAGGATGGAGAAATAAAATAAAAGGGGGAAATTATTTGTTTCAGGTGAGCCTTCTAATGCTTGTCTTGAATTCCCTGTTGACCACGTTTCCAGTTGGCGGGACAAACTTCACCATGCTTCTCTACAAATTGGAATGCATCCAACAGTCGAAGTGTCTCGTCGACGGATCTTCCAACTGGCTTGTCATTGACTGTAATTTGACGTAGAATTCCTTTCGGATCGATGATGAATAGACCTCTGAAATGTATGTAATAAGAAATATTGCGGATTCATACAGTTAGATAAAGTGTGTGTATACTGTCGGGATAATTCTCAAAGGAATATCAACGCTTGATTTGATGAAATGGGATATGTAGTTATACAGAAATACACACTATCATGTTTTTTTCACTTACTCATGCGTAACAACAGGCATGTAGTTAGAGATAGAATGCTTACACATGAATTAGCAATCTCATATTCTCCGGGAAGATGTGAAAACAGGATGTCAGTCGACCAAAGTCTTAGTGTTCGTATTTATACTTAGAAGAATGTATAGTGGTCTATTATTGAATAATAGGGGGTGACATAATTGCTGTAATTAATCATAAGTGGCTTTAGAGGCCGCACAAAGCGCACGCTTTCCAAACGCATCTCTGAACATTATCCGGAATGGTTAGCAAAGGGACAATACAAGACAATTACTAGCTCAATTCTCGAGCATTTGGTGAACTCAGGCCACGTAGCTCCACCAGAGTCGTCTTTCAACATCATCTACAAAGTGAAGCCAAATTGTACAAAAGGCGTCAGGTTCCGGCTTTTGTGTATGGCGGAGGCGCTGGCAATACATCAATACAACCCTGATCTCTGTATACAGAAAAAGTTTGTCCAGTCTCTTATTCTACCTTGGTCTTTACCTCTTCACTTATCCTTCCCTGTTAAAAAATATTTTTGATTTTGTTCTTAATCTTTAATTTTACTTTTAGTTTGCTTTTGCTTTAATAATTAATTCACTATTATCAATTTCATATATTTTCACACCTTCTTCACACTTGTTAAATTGACACTCTAATAACTTTATTCTCACTCAAGAGCAATTTTAACCTTTTCTAACTTCTATCTTTGTTCCGTCAAGTACCATGTAATTTACAACTTTTAATTTTCACCTCTAAAGCCACTTATGATTAATTACAGCAATTGTGTCACCCCCTATTATTCAATAATAGACCACTATACATTCTTCTAAGTATAAATACGACTGTACAGCCTCTGAAGATGATTTCGTCGATAAAGAAAATTTTCTTCGCTGAATCCGTCTTTTATTTTCTTCATTACTCAATGGGTATTTACCGTGATTTCTTAGTGTTCGGATTTGGCCTTTATAACCTAAATTAAAGTGTTTCTGTGTCAGCCTATTCTTACTGATAGAATGCACAATTATGCGTAATATTCACTCTCGTTCAGCATTTAGATGTATATGTCAGAAGTATGACTCACCTAACGAACATCCACAATGAACCTACACCTATTCCCTACTTGTGTATCAGCAAGGCATCACTGATGCATTGCTCTTGACTCACCCAACATTAAGACCTACTTAGCTTCACTTCATCCTCGAAATACGCATTCTCTGCTACCTTGACCAACAATCAATCCAACTCACCTGAATGCATTTCCCTCCTCTTCATCCAACACACCATAGGCTCTCGAGATCGACTTCGTCTTGTCAGCCAACAAGGGGATTTTCATCTCTCCCAATCCACCTGATTTCCGATCCATATTTATCCATGCGAAGTGACTGTATTCAGAATCCGTAGAACAGGCGATCACTTGACAATTTCGACTCTTGAAATCTTCCACCTGATCACTGAATGCGATGATCTCTGTTGGACAGACGAATGTGCTGAAATTGATGAAGAAATCGACAGAGACATTGATTTTTTCATGGCATAATAACAATGGTGAATATTATGAGCATGAACCATCACTCAACAGACTACTGATAAAGGTAGACCTATTTTTTCACTGCCTTATTGCTGCACTCTGCTGCACGCAATCGGATATATTTCCTGAGTGTAAAATAGTCTCATATATCAATTTTAACCTAGGAATGTTAGATTACGTCTGTCGGATGCAGTTTACAGAAGGGAAGTGACAGTTACTCACATCTGAGGAAATTTCGGCGGATCGAAATCGACATGGTATATGTAGAGAATACTGCATCGATGATACAGAAATCTCTCACTTATGAACTACATAGTTAGAAAATCCGCTGTACATTGAATTCATCTATCTGATACCTATTCATGTTCCACATTTGTGTAAAATGAATGTATATTACTCAATACTAAAACCTCAAATATACAAAATATTTCATTTACGAAAATCACCAATAAAGAACACAAATCATTCTGTCAGTAACAACTTACAAGTCAGCTGGATAGAAAAACAACACGACATATTGTCCCAAATAATTCTCTAAACTGATCTCCTTGAAGACACCATCGACAACAGCTTTTCCTTTGAAAACTGGTGCAGGTTTGTTTGGAAGTAGAACCATGACTGTTGATTGTGGATTGTGAATACACTGAGTTGTGATGAATACACTCCGTGGATGAATGCATGCATTTATATATGCGTTACTTGTTACGATATCCTTCGTTGTGATTGGTGTGAATTTGTTTACGATTCGAATTGGTTGATTCGACCGACTGGAATGTGACCTCAGTTGACTTTCTCTTCATCTGAATGAATGAACCAATCACATGTGGTTTACTAAGCCTGCACTCGACTTAGAACTATTTGTCTATTTTCTAGATTTGTGTTTCGTGAAATATATTCAACTGAGTTATGAAAATGGCAGAAGAGAACCTGTATAGATGTAATCTGCTATCAAATAAAATTTTTATTGTGAATATCTTGAAATGCTTGATCTGTATGTTGATGATAATTATCGCAGAAATTTCTATATAATCATGGAATGTGTGTAGATGTCTCTTCTTATGATGATTTCACCTTTCGACACATTGTAAAACATAGAAAGATCCACCGGAATCGAACACTTGTTATATTTCTTTATCTAATGGCTTCATCAAGAATCACTGTGACCATGTCTAGTCTCAAAGCAAGTGGCGAGATTGTATGCCATGCTAATCATTGTGTTGTAATCAAAGTAATGCAGTCCTGTAAGAGGTAATGGAGTGTTTTCATCTGGAGTAATGACCACCAGTGTTGTTCGTCATGGATACGTTACTTCCCAATTTTTGCTTACCGTCATCACAGGCATACTAATGGTTCTGTCTATAATCGGCTTTACCAACCTATGGATGAACTTCCACTTGGAAGCATTCTTGTCGACTGAGAAAATGTCTCTAAAATGAGGTCTTTTAAACACCTTGAGCAGAAATCTCAGTATGTTCATCATGTAATTAGTTTCTTTAGAAGTGTGAGATTATGTTGCATTACGAGTCTGCAAATTTTGGTGTGATATTTGCCTACTGACGTCATCTGTCGCGTATATGTGATATCCGGCTATCAAGCGAAAAAAGTGCTTCCTGTGCAGCAGTTTGTTTTGTTTCTATTTATGGCTTTTGAGACATTGACATCGAAACTGGAAGACCTTGAGAGTCCAGTTGTCTTTAACGAAAGTTGCTTGCGTCGAATCATCTGTGTTCAGAGTGGTATAATATGGTGAATACTTCTGTGGTTAGGCTTAGATTTTTAGGTGAGGGATGGAAATTTGATGGATTGGATTGTGAATCTTCATTGGCTGAGATGGTTAAGACACGTTAAGACATATGTGCAGGCCAAGCCATCATCTTTCTCGAAGTGCAATGTTAGCTGACATAGAATTTAGTCAGTTAAGAGATAGAGCAATCGAATCATAATTTTGGACTAATCCATGGGGTGTGTGATTGTTAACTTAAACCACGTAGGAATGTGTAGACTACCTAGTTAGTGCGCTTGAGACTCTAAGAACCAATGCCTGGGTACCGTTGGTGATATGACTGAAAACTGGTGTGAATGGTGCAGATGTTACCACCCTTTATAACTTCCCAAATCTAGTAAAATGTAGTCTACCCCACCCACTCTGAATCTCTATTCTGGAACACCTGATCGAATTAGAACTCCAGTCAAATCCACAAAGTAACTTGAAAGTCATCTCAAGAATGCATGTGAATCTTGCTAAAAAGAGTACGAATTCTTATTATTTACCACCATTACTAAAAATGTCATTCATGTTCACGGAACGTAAAGAAAGTTTTCACAAGTACTAACTAGTACAGGAATCACTTAGCCAAAAAGGTGTATTTTGCTTCAGGTGGTTTCAGTGAATGAAGTAGTGGGTTAATAGGAAATGCGAGTAGGTCATAAAATTTGAAGACACGCTTGCTGTCATCATAAAATGAGTGTCTGAGTTTACTTACTATCTCACGGAGTAAACCTGAGCAAATGAGCTTATTGATATTGATTTATTTGTTTGGCACATGATAATCTAGCGATTTCTCTTACCCCACATCTAAATATTTTCTTCTAATTCCACGTGTGAGTATACTGCTTATCATTAGACTTAAGAAGAATTGATAAGAGCAATTCAGATCTCAGTTTTCAAGCCTCAGGGTTTAGTCAGCTTAGGGTTGTCGACACATTAACCATGAAAGTAGACGATCTCGGTGTGCATAACACTATCTCATTGAAAACACAGCATGATATGCAGTTTCTGATGTCAATTATGTAGGTAATGACCCTTTGATTGGACACTGGTAACTAATGTGATGTATCTAGTCCTATCTTCGGTGCAGACTAAATTCTATCAGTCAGGTTTGCAATATGGTCACCATTCTAGTTAGCTCACCATTACGAAGCATATTTGTTTGATAATATTAATTAAATAACTAAATATTAAATCCCGACTGAAAGCCGCTACCTTGACGTGGTGGTCGGGCTTGAACACCGCAATGACCTAATCAAGCTATACTGGCTGAGACTTATGTCGCTTGAGGTTCTACCATGCCAGGCAGGTTGTTTGGATAGCGGTTAAACGAAAAGCAGCTACCTCATCCAATACCATGATTCAAACAAATTCACAAAATATCATGCCGGATCGGCCGTGGCCCGGATTAACAACGACCGCGCTTCCTGCTGCCGTATCACAGGGCAGGAGTGATAAATATGCTACTGAGACACACAAAACAATAAAGAACGAACAAAAACAGGCCGCCTGTGACCGGCCTCAAGCAGTTGTCCCCTGGGCTCTGGGGTCACGCAGCCAACTTCCACGGTGTGGGCAGCTGGGAAGTAACAATCCGAAATGCACATTTAACCTGTGTAATACTCACTCATCTTTTTCGTCATCTTCATCTCTATCATCTTGCTTTCCTTCCGCTGATGCAACTCCTCTACTTGATGGCTCTTCACTTCCTCTTCACTCTGTGTCCACCGAAAACGATGGAAGCCAAAACACCACCACCGATAGTCTCCTAAAGCCATGCCACCAATTTCATATAGGAGCTTTTAATGTTAGGACACTTTGCCAAATAGGACAACAAGCATCACTAGCAAGACTCTGGCATCCCGAGCCGTTGATATATGTTGTGTTTCACAAACGCGCATACAAGACCCAAGTGTGGTTATTCACCTAACCCCACCTGGCCAACAAGATGAATCTGCAAAATTCACCTTGAGGGTGTCAGGAGATGCCACAGCTTGTTCACGAGGATTAGCTGGTGTAGGGATAGCTTTGAGTACTAGGGCAGAAAAGACACTACTTGACTGGATCCCGGTAGATAGCCGAATGTGTGCTGTCCGTCTGAACGGATCAGTAAGAAGGAGAAAGGACTGCACTACTCGCCGATGCCTTTTCGTAATCTCCGCCTACGCCCCAACTGACTGCAGTTCGGATGAAACGAAGGATGAGTTCTAACAAAAGCTGTCTAGTTTGGTGCGAAAGGCTAAACGCTCAGATATAGTCGTTCTAGATGGTGACTTAAATGCTCAAGTAGGGAAATTGTGTCAATTTGCGAAGGATGTCGGTGGCACCTATGGAGTCCCGTGCCAGCGAACCGACAACGGTGACCGTCTCCTACAGTTCTGCTCTGATAATCATTTGTCTCTTGTATGCAGTAACTTCAAACACAAAGAGAGACACTGTTTGACCTGGCGACCCCCTTCATCAAACCAACGCTGGACACAAATAGACCGCATAGCAATAAGCTATCGTTGGCGTGGGTCGGTAGGAGATTGTCGCTCCTTCTGGAACACGTGTGTGGATTCCGATCACGCACTGAACATGATCCGTTCACTTAGCAACAGAGTTCGCAGAATTCGCGCCCTGGATACCATAGAAGACGGACTGGACGATCTCAAGGGAATCCGCGTCGAGAATTGTTACTCAGAACGATTTATTGCAAAATCTATGAATCCTAGGCCACAAAAGCCGCCCATGCATAGCGTCCCGAAGAAACCGCTCTACATGAACCTTCAATTCAATGGAGATATATCTGCGGAAATACTAAAAAATCGCCTGTCGCGCTCACTCAAGAAGACCTTCTTCGCAGCTGAACTACGACTAACTTTCTCCACAAAACCTATGATTCATGTGAACGTGAAGGATAAGCTACCACTGTTGGCCTCATCAATGTGTATCTACCAATTCACCTGCTCGTGTGGAGCCAGGTATGTCGGCCGTACCCAGCGTTCGCTTTCCAAGCGCATCACCGAACACTTACCAGCATGGTTTTACAAAGGAGAAAAGCGATGTCCCCGCAGCTCCATCTTAGAACACCTGATAGAATCCGGACACCAAGCTGCACCCCAAACAAACTTCACAGTAGTCTACAGAGTAAGAAGTAGTCTTCCAAAAGGTGTACGAATCAGACTTCTTCAAACTGCAGAAGCAATGGCGATTCACTTGCTAAGCCCTGAACTGTGCATACAGAAGAGGTTCGTTCAATCACTACACTTACAATGGACTTAATCTACCTTATTACCTGAAAGGTAAATTCTACCTAATTTTTTCTTTTTTTTCTGTCTCTTCATTGGTATTATTCTGTCTTCTTAATTGTAATATTTTGCATTTTCAACTTTCTTGTTCTCTACCCCCACCCGATTTAATTTCTATACCTCACTACCAATTTAATTGACCTGACCAACGCTCAATTTATAGTCATTTATGTTACGTCATCCAACTTAATTGCTCAATTTCATTTCTAATCTAAATGGCATTATTATCTACCCCATTTCTACTTAGTCTCTACCTGTAATTACCTCTGTTGCTAACCTGACCTAAGTTAAAACATTTTAGTCAATTGTATTACGTCATCTAACTTACTAACTCAATCTTACTTTAGTTGCTCTCCAATTAACCTTGTTTCTATATTAGATCATTCTTTTATTACCTGATCAATTATCTAATTTTGACAAACCTCATGTACACACACACACACTCAAATAATTATATATAAATGCGATTGTACAGCTATGTGAATGAATTCGCCGAAAAGAGTCTCTTCGCTGAACGTCTTCTCTTTTTCATATGACTAAATGGGGATTTTCAAGATA